ACCCTGCGAGTGCAGATTTTGTAATGGTAGCATGTTTGTTGTACACACGTTTCTGTTTTCCTAGCAATAAGTAGGAACCTGGTTGTTAGTCGATTGGTGGATCACTTTGTGGGGGTAATAATTCCACCAAAAAAAATTTTGGGTCACTCAATCCAAGACTGTTTGTGGGACACTGCCGTGCACCATTAACTGCAGCCTTTTGCCCACAAAAGGCACAGTCAATCCACTTTACAATATATTCTGTAAAGCGCTTTCAGACATCTCAATGACATGATAAGGCTCTATCTCAAATGCGAGCATTATTAATATTATTACTTTGCAAAATTAACAAGGATTGGCCTAACCTGTCGTTGAGGCCCACTTTTGAATTGACTGGCCTCTGCTTAACTCCAAACAAACAGCCTCTCCATGGCGCATCCCGTCTAGACAGTGAGCAACTGAAATACTCACATCAAGATGTTCCCGTAAGCAAATTGCCAAGAAATTAAAGTTGCAAACTATGATTTTAAGGAACTGGAGGGAGCTCAAGTCAGGTATGGGTGAGATATCCAGATGTGTACTTTCTAGACCTTGTATTTAAATCCCTTCACCGACCTCATCCCCACCCTACCTCTGTGACTTCCTGCACTCCTTCGACCCATCTGCTCATCCTGATTCATAGCCATGCTTCACCATTAGTGGGTGAGGTTTCAGCTATTCTGCCACTGCTCTCTGGAACTCTGTCTCAGAGTCCCTCCTCGGTGTCCCACACCCCTCAGCTTGTGCCACCAACAGGCTCTGTGAAACATGTCAGGGAAGTATTGATGCATTGTATCAAATGCGAGAATTATTATAATTTGAATTATTAGTCCTCTAGCATAGAGCTCTCGCCTCACAAGGGATTCCAGGAAAGTGGACAAACTTTAAGGCGAGTTTCCTTACTCGACACGCCTTTTACCTAGCAGTAAGTAGGAACCCGGTTGATAGTCGATTGATGGACCGCTTCAAAAAAATAATAATAATTTGGTGACTCAATTCACGACTGTTTGTGAGATACTGCTGTGGGCAACTGGCTGCCATGTTTTGCCCACAAAAATCTACAGTCAATTAACTTCACAGTATATTTGGGGAGCGCTTTGAGATGTCTCGATAACGTTATCACAATTATCAAATGCAAGGATTACTTTTATTATTATAAATCCTCAGAAGTCATGCTAAAGCACAACAGCAACATCAACTTGCATTTACATAGCCTCTGTAGGATAAGCCTCTCATACGGTAGCCTCTCATACCATTTATTAGCTCTTTGGACTAATTTGTGTTGATGGGCTGGTAAGATTACCGCTGAATACAGTGCATACAGACACCCTGTGACGGCCGGTGTTTTGACAGTTGGGAGTTGGCTGCTGTTAAAGGTCAGGGTGAATAGTCTGGAGCTGTGTCAGACACACTGGCTGGGACTGCTCTTCCTCCCAAGATGGAACAGTACATCTTGTGAAGAGGCCTGAGCAAGACAATATGTGCTTGTGTTACGCTGGTGACAAAAGGGCTCTCTGTTGTTGTAAAGATGAATTATGTCTGGCAGCGCTTTGCACAATGGGATCATTCTTCTCCCACTGTAATGAGGAGGGAAGGAGGGAGGGCACGTGTGCTGCACAGGGCTGAGTCGTGACAAACACCTTTTAAAATTATAGCCCTCACCTCGGGAGGATATGCTTCGCAGGATTTACTGTAAGGTGTGATGACTGAATTTTGTGGGTGAACACGGCAGCCCAATTTGCACACAGCGCTCCCCCATAAACAGCCATGAAGTGAATGACCGATTTCTTCTGGGTGATTGGGGGTCAGGCACCAGGGAGAAACTTTTTCGAATGGCGCCGTAGGATCTTCACCGTCCGCCTCAAAAGGGACAGATGGGACCTTGGATTAATGCCTTGCTTGTGTAAATTGGCTGCTGCGTTTGCCTACAAAAATATACACAGTCACTACACTTTATGGTAAATCCTGTGAAAACATCTCTATGTGTGATATCAAATGAAAACATCTCCATGTGCGATATCAAATGAAAACATCTCCATGTGTGATATCAAATGAAAACATCTCCATGTGTGATATCAAAAGCAAGGATTAGTATTTATACGAAGCATAGCATTTGCACTTTATTGGAGTGTCAGTCTAGTCTGTGAGCTCAAAGTCCCAACATGGGGTGGGTTTGAACCCACAACCATCTGACTGGGAGACGAGAGTACTACCAACTGAGCTAGGCTGACACCTAAGATAGGTGCAAGGACAGATGTCAGGGAAGCAGTTACCTGGACGTAGATATGATCACTAGCTCAGTAACCTCTGGTGTCACTGTGTAAAATGACTTACAATGTGTCTCAGGACTGACCCGCTACTGTTTGTTCCAAGAAAGCAGATAAAATGACGCTGTGATCCGGGTTTTATTTATATGAAAGAGTATAAATACGCTGAACTAAAAAAATTACATCTAACTTAACGATAAACCACGATTAAATAGCTTTTGTAATGCGGCCCCCAAAACTAGCGTGACGTGTTAAAACTGCAGACCCCTGGAGTTTTCTGTGTAACGGGTTAAATCCCAGGAATATGTTTTTAATTGTAAATATCTACAAAACAGGCAATTTGTTGCATGCATGATTGACCTCAGCGATAGGATCAGAGAGGAGGCTCAGTGGTCTGTCTGCCTGCTTGGCCCTCCTGAGGTTTCCCTTCACGAGACACTGTGTGACGTAACCTCTTGTGATTGACTAAGTCTTTACAGATGATTCCAGTTCATTGCCCTGATATTGGTCATCTTCCTGTTAAGGTGTAGCTTACACTCACTTTAGTGTCTATAACAATTTCCTTCCCTCTCCCCCCCACCCCAAGGCCATTTATTTTTCCTTCCCTGGTTCTCACTTTCCATTTCACCCACAAAATGCAGTCAATCCACTCTACAATATATTCTGTGAAGCGCTTTGAAGCATCTCAAGGACATGATGAGGCGCTATATCGAATGCAAGGATGATTATTTCTCATACATCCCTCTCTCTTTCTTACCCATCCTCATGCTCTCTCGCCACCTTCCCGAATTCCTCATCTCTGCTCACAAATCTTTCCACCTCTTTTGCCTCCTCCGCAAGGAATTTAGATATTTTCTCTTCTTTCCCTCTCTTATAAAGAAGCCCACTATCTTCTCTTCCCTCCTCCCAGACTGTGAGTGGCCAATGTATAATTTTTATGCAGAATGGCCTTCCTCCTAAATTGTTTTTTTGGAGGTCAGCTGGGTGTCTCACACACGTGGAAACCCATCACAGTGTTTAAAAGTATCCACTCCAGACTGAGACTTCCACATACATATGCCACCTACACATGGAAATTTCCCTGTGTCTTGAATGGAATGTGCATTCTTACCCCTGGAGGGATGTATCCTGCCAACCTAATTGCAGGTTGACAAGATCCCAGGCTTGGGGACTCCACAATGTAAGTTGGGTAACTATTGGAGTTAAGCAACTAAAACCACCTTGCATCGAGAGCACTGTCTGCTATTGCTCGTGCAGCTAGGACCACCCTACTGATTAAGGCCTTGGCTTGCTGGGTTAACAGAAGCCAAGTGGGAAGAATCCCTGTCCCCAGTCTGGGCTAATCTGTTATCAGCAGTGCCCTGCAGTACTGCGGACATGCCTGGCTAGGACCTGGACTGCTGAGATCACAGAGGGGTGACTTGATTCTGAAATTCTGTAGCCAAACACATCACCTTAGAGCCGATCAGCCCTGAGGAGATCCTGCTCAACCTCTCCCCGAGGAGAATAGTTACTGTTAACAAACTCAATCTGTTCCCAGTTGGAATTCTCAACCTCTCCATTCCTTTGTTGAATGCAAATACAGTACTACACTAGTTGGTGATTTCTCTTGTATATAATCAACCTTCACAGCGACTCTTGAAACTATTTCACCTCAGACTTTGACAGATTCCCTCCACTGAGCCCCTTTCGCCACCGATGCTCTCCCACTGAGCCCAGCAGAGGTGACGTTGATGTTAGATGTAAAGCCAATGTGGTGAGGAAGGTCTGAAGTTTGGCGTCCGTTACATGCGTGAAGAAGTCATTCAATAATATTAGACAAATCATTCAGCTGTTGTCACATTTAGCTCCAGGCTTTGACACTAAGGTCAGAGACCCGGAATTGGTCGAAACCAAACACTGATGGAAAATATCTCAATTCTGTACAAAATACTCAGTAAGACTATGTACAGTATTTTACAAACCGCAATCGGCTAAAGGCAAGCTTTAAAACAACTTCTGACTGAATTTTAATAATAATAATTCTTGCATTTGATACATACAAGGTCTCACAGCACTTCGCAAAGTTGTGGTAAAGTGCATTGACTGTGTATTTTGCAGGTGAACCTGGCAGCCAATTTGTACACAGCAATGTCCCACAAAAAGCCATGAAGTGGATGATCAAATCTATCTGGGGGATTGTCGGCCAGCCTGATGGGAGAAACGCCCTTCTATTTTTGAATAGTGCCACGAGATCTTTAAGAACCACCTGAACAGGTATCTCAGCGTGAAGTTGTACGATATACATAATCACTACACTTTACAGTAAATTCAGTGAAGCGCTTTGAGACGTTCTCCCGATGTGAAAGGAACTTTATCAAATGCAAGGATTCTTATTGTTTTACATTTCAGATATAGTGGTCGCGATAAACTCAGAAATAATTTTGAAGAAAAGCATCTTACTGCACAACCTCATCGTTTGAGTTCTCTGAATATAGGTTAGATAGTTTCAAATCAGAATAGTAGATAATTAACATGAATGCGTGTGTCTGATAGTTTTTATATACCGAGATGGAACAGGCTTACTAACCAAAGCTTGAACTATCAAAATAACAATCAAAACTTGCTATACAAAGCTTTGAACTATGCAAAGCTTCTTCTGATTTTGCCTTAGTTGAAACCATTTCTCAACTGCTCAGTAATTCAATGAACTGTTAAATAGATGTACAAATTGGCCTAGTTTGATGTTTTATTTGGACAAGGAATCTCAGTGATATGGTCTGTGTTGTATTCGGGATGGGCCGGTGGTGGGGATGCATCTGTAGACGTGAGGCGTGGTGTGGGAGGAATGTAACTTGTAAAGAATTCTTGGTAATTTGCAGGTACTTCACATTCTGGATTAATCCTCCCAAATACCCAGACCAAAACGTTTCTTGTGAAATGTCAGTGTTGAGTGTTCCTCTTCCTGACTCTGTTTGCAATGTTTGACCTGTACAAGGCTCAGGAGCTCAGTCCTTCAGTCCGGTGCAGTGTTGGGAGAGGAGAGGTTGAGCCAGCTCTATGTGTCAGTGACGTGTCTGGGTCGCCGGTGCCGGGGTTTGCTCTTGCCTTTCTTCACGCCGGACGACATGAACTTCCACTTGTTCAGCATCATTTTGCGGCGTTTGCGCTGCTTCTCGTTGCACCAAACCCTCTCGCAGTATTCCTCTACCCGGTGCAGGTTGGCGTAGCCGATCAGTTGCATAATGTCCTTGAACCACGGTTTCTGGCTGTGGAGCCTCTGGCTCTGGGCGGCGCATGGCCGGCTGCTATAGTCCTCGCCATCCCGGTTGAAGAGCTCCTCCAGCTGCTCGCTCTCGATGACCTCCAGCGAGATTCTGGTCACCGTCTGGGTGAAGCCATGCTCCAGGGTCTTGCAGTAATACGTGCCTTCATCCATTCGGTAAATCTTCCTGAACAAGAGGCCGTGCTCAGTCTTGACTATCCTCTCGTCCAATTTCACCTGCGGAGAGAAAAGACGTCACAAGATCTTCAGAGAGGTTTGGATGAAGAAGGATGTTTGGCCCCAATTGGGCGAGAAGACTTGGGTTCGATCCCCCGGCAGGACCAAACCTAAGGCAAGTTTCCTTACTCCACATGCCAGTATTATCCAGTATTAAGTATAAACCCGGTTCTCAGTCATTTGGCAGGTCACTCTTATGGGGGTAATAATCTCATCAAAAAATATATCATTTAAAAAAATGTAGTCAAACCACGACTGTTTGTGGGACACTGCTGTGCGCAATTGACTGCCGAGTTTCACCCACAAAATACTCAATCAATTCACTTTACCACATAGTCTGTGAAGCGCTTTGAGAAGTATCAAAAACGTGATAAGGCAAGGATTATTATTATTAATTTGTTCATGTAAATGCAAGGATTATTATTATTAATTTGATCATGGTTCCAGGTTGGGTGATGAAGATCTAACAGACCTCTGTTTAAAAAGTTCTCTGCTAATCGCTCCCTTTGCTCTTTTGGTGATCACCCTAAATCCGTTCCCTCCAGTTACTCACTCAGTGACCAGAAATCTTACATACGTCAACAACTGCCATTTACACAGTGAAAATGAAACATCTCAACGTGCTTTACCGAAGGAGATCTACAGGAAGTTAAGTAAATGCCGGTGAACGTGGCAGTCGGTCTGTGCCAGCAAACAGCAACAAGATTTTAATAAAATTTAACAACATTTAATAAACCTGAATTTCAAGTTCTGCGCAGACTGAAAAGGGCAAAGATCTGAGACTGGCTGACCTGAAGTGAAGCTGTTCTGTTTTATTAAGGCGAAACACGTAACACTAACCAGATGAGTTTCCATGTTAAATTCAGTGTGTCCAATTTATTTCCTAATTTTCTTCCCCACTGGCGTCCGTCTGTCCCAATCGGGCCTCCTCTTGTTGGGGTGCGGGTTCCTCTGGCCCGCAGTCATCTCCCCTCCCCCCGGCTCGGCGTCTGGTGCTCCGCCACTGTCAAGCACTCTGGGAAGCCATCCTGCCTGAGGGGTGCTATATAAATGTAAGTTGTCCTTGTTGTGGTTGACTGTAATAGTCACCTGGACTGAAACATCTGCCAGATCACAAGATCGGCTCAGATGAAGAAAACCCCCTCGTCCCATCTGATTTCATCCTTTCAGAACACCCAACCCATCCCAGCATTGACCTGCTTTGTAAATGAATCCCAGTGTCCTGGCCTCAACCACCCTTCCCGGCAATCCCATTCCAGTTGTTACTTACCCTCTGAATAAAGAAATACTTCCTGGTGTCTGTCCTGAAATTGCCCTTTGCAACTCTAAACCTGTGTCCTCTTGTTCTACTGTGGTGCATATAATGATAATAACCCTTGCATTTGGTATAGTGTCTTAACACGTCGTTGACATGTCTCAAAGCGCTTCACAGAATACACTGTAAAATGAATTGACTGTATATTTTGTGGGCGAAACGCGGCAACCAATTGCGTACAGCAGTGTCCCACACAGTCCTGCATTGAGTGACTAAATTGTTTGTCAGTTAGTTTGTTTATTTTTGAAGGGATTATTATCCTAACATGTTGTTCCGGGTTTACAATCCCATGTAAAATATTATACAGCTCTCTCAGACTGATGAACCACAGCCCGTCTAATTGCTTCTCACCTCATCTTTCATGCCGTCCACAGCTCTCTGTATGAACCACCTCACGGTGGCCTGTGGGGATTTCGGGACACATTCCAGGAAGGTGCTGTTGTCCTCAGTTCCATACACCACTCGCTCCTCCACGCTGTCAAAACTGTCTGCTGCACAGAAGTCAGACTGAGTTAGACGTCAACACATTCGAGGGATAGCAGACCATGAAACTCTGGCCAATCTCAGATACAGTCGCGGCTATGGGACTGCGGAATCAGCGTGCCAAAAACAAAATGGACGCCAGCCTTGCTCCCAGGTCATCGTTGACGTCATTGCCGGGGGCTGGCTTTCTGGAAGCCAGACAGGCATTGCACTCTGGTCACTGCGAGCCGGCAGGGCAACTGTGTTTTAATGGACCTTGTGCTAACTGGTGGTGTGGGGGGAGGGAGGAATGTATGTGAGCAGGAAGGTCCCAACTCATGCGCAAACATGTGGGGTTTAAACCAGGTTGCCCCATATTTAGCCCCATTCCTCACTGCTTACTGATACTCCATCCCAGAGACCCTCCGACTTACCCCCTCCCTCTTGTAACTGATAGTGCCAGCGCTCAGGGCTATCATTGCAGTTACCGGAGAAACCAGTGACAGGAGGTAATTGGGCTCAAGTGTGGATGAGTCCCAAAGGAAATGGTGCACTGGGAAAGTGTTTATTGGGGAGAGAGGCAGCAATCCCCAAAACTCTTCATGTTGATTATGATACTGAGATATTATCAATAGTGTGTGAGTCAGTATGTGTGCGCGAGTATGTGTGTTGCGATGTCCTCCCGACGTGAAAGGCGCTCTACAAAATGTAATCTTGTTGTTGTTGTTTGTGCCTGTTTGTGTGTGTGTGTGTGTGTCAGAGTGAGTGTGTACGTGAGCATGTATATTCACTTACCATTCAGACTCTGATCCAGACATTGATGGGCGGGGTTACCATTCCAAATGTCTTGTCTGCGGAAACGTCTAGAGAGAAAGAAACTGACGTCAGGAGCGTCCTAAATGTCTCACAGGGTTGGTTTTTAGTGTGTTACGGTGGGACCCCATTGTAACACAGCTGTTGGAATCCAGGCCATTTTAATTCAAGTTATAAGGAAGGATGCAAAACAGCCAAGTGATGTCAGGGACATTTCCTGTGCCCAGGTCACAGGAAGCGTCATCAGTGGCTTCTCCTCCATGCAACACACAGCAAGTGATATTAGTGGTGCCACCTGTATGCGGCACGCAGGAAGTGACATTTAGAGGCAGTTGGCCAATTTTTTAGACGGGAAGCCAGCTCAGTTAGTGCTCCATCTGGTTAGGATGAGTCCACGGGACTCCAGCGCTATAGACCAACCCCCATACTTATGAGCCAGAAGAAGAGATAAAGGCGCGACTTGAAATCCAAAGAACTGCTACCTTTTTCCTGTGGGTTGGTATCTGGTGCAGGAGGTTCCATCCCAGGCGCAGTATGGGTCTCTGGCCAGACAGCACTCTGCACATGCATTCCCATACGTCTCACACTGATGTAGCTTTACCTGGGCAACGCCCACCCTGGAGCCAACATACAGTTGTTGCTGCAACATAACACGTGACAGTGTTAAAGTGAGACACGTGAGGCCATGTGAAATCAATGTGTTATTGTTCATTGAGTACAACAGGGTCACTTACTCTCTTCACTGAAATCTCCAGAGATGTGATGGGGTTTGGTGCCTACCAGTAAGAAAACAGAAACCATTGGGTTATGTCTTATTATGATAATGATAATCATTACATTTGATGTCTCAAAGAGGCGTCTGTATAGTGTCTGTACTTTATAGATGAACAAGTGCGTAAGCCAATATTGCACACGGCAATGTCTCACAAACACCCATGAAGTGAAGTGCCACTAACACACACAACACACGCACATACACACAAATTGACGCAAACACAGAAACATGTACACACCAAACACACACATGCAATGAACAACCAATTTTATCTGGGGATTGAGAGAAAGAAACTCCCTTCACTTTTTAAATAATGCCATGGGATTTTTAATGTCCACCTGAACAGGCAGATGGGACCTTGGTCAAACGTCTCATCTGAAGAGGGTAGGTTGGGTGGTAATTGGTTTGGGTGGAGTTGGGTTGGGTAAGTGGTTATCGGGTGGGATGGGTGGCCTGGGCGGGAAAGAAGGAATTAGGCTCAACCAAGCTCCCACTATTGTAATTGTGGATGTTATTTAAGATGTCCTCCAGCCATCACATCACCTGATCCATTTCATACTGAGATGAGGAACATGAAGAGGCTCGTTCACATCCCACACATCAGAGTAATACAAGGAGAATAGTCAGAAAGAAACCCGTGAGGTTAGGTCCGAGGAAAGCATCGTGACTTTTGCACGATAAACTGGAAGGAACGTGAATGGGGATCTCAAATGGCCAAGGTTTGGTGTTACAGATAGGGTGCTTGTTGGACAACATTGTACCTTGAAGACCTGCAGCTCTTCCAGGATCACTTCCTCGCTCTTAATCGCGTTCCCTTTCCGCAGAGCAATCACCTTCAGCACAACTCCAGTATCTGGGCAAGAAGACACCAATTCTTTACACTCCCCCTCATGTGACAGTGTTTTGTGGTGGCAGCCAATTAGCGCACAGTGATGTCCTGTCCCTCAACCAGTTGTGGAATAGATTTTATCTGGGGGTTTGTTGGCCCAGAACTGGGAGAGATAAACACCGTTCTCTTTTCGAATAGCGCCACGGGATCTTTAACGTCCACCTGAACAAGCAGACGGGATCTCAGTTGAAGGATGGTGCTTCCAACTATGTAGCGCTCGCCAGCATTGCATTGGAATGTCAGTCTGGACTGGGAGGTCAAGGTCCTGACGGGGACTTGATTCCCCCAACCTTCTGACTTGGGAGGCCAAAGTGCCGCCCGCTGGGCCAGGCTGACATATCTCATCGGTGCTCTCCCACTAACGCTGACACTAAACTCGATCATGACACAGGAAGCAATGTCCTTCCCAGGCACGTGTGATCGGCTGCTATCTCCAAGGCGAAAGATCAATGAGGAAGTGCCCTGAGCTATTGTGCAATTGCCGCAGTCAATGCTGGTTATCTCGGCCTGACCAGGTGACAAGCTTGTACCTGTTCCAATGAACATGACGTCGTACTGTCCATCCTCGGCGTCCACGCGGTCCACCACGATGTGTGTCATCTTGTACTGGAGGTTGGTTTTGATGAGGACGGGGTGCTGATTTGCCGGGTACACTGACTGGAACATCAGGGGGTGGCTACGAGCAAAGTGTAGGACGTCGTCCGGGTAGTCCTTGGTACTGTTATATGGTCGGCTGGGCTGAGTGGTGATCTTACTCGGACACTGTGCACAAAAAGGAAGTCAAGCTTTATGGGAAGATTGGGAAATAGCTGATTTTTTTCACCAAATAGACGTTTCTAACCTAACTTGAGTTGAAAACGAGATTCACTTTCTTCTCTTGTAACCTTTGTGTTCAAGCCAAAGCCTTGATGTGTCGGGTGGTCTTTGCTGGACAAGTAATAATAATAATTATTGTTATTATTATTATTTGTGTTCAAGCCAAAGACTTGATGTGTTGGGTGGTCTTCGCTGGACAAGTAGCAGGAAAGCTTGCCAGACAACAACAACAATTTGCATTTATATGGCGTCCTCATGCAGGCTAGGGTCTCAGAAGGCTTGACAGTATTGGCGCACACAATGAAAACGGGGGCGGGATAAGGTAACCCTAGGCTTAGTCGAAGAGGAAAGTCTTTACGCGTGATCTGAAGATGGGGAAGGATATTCTTAAGCGTAGAGTGATGGATTTCCGCGTGTGTCAAACACCCGGCTGACCAAAACAAAAACGTGTTCATGTGCCAAACTGCCCCAATCCAGCCCTTCCCAATCTGACCACCTAATAGAGCTTCCCATTCCCACTCCAGTCCCACTTCCCAGTCAAGCCTCCCAATCCCGCTTCCCAATCCCACCCCTGAAACGTTTCAATGAGTTTTCACAAGTGGTTTTCAGCACTTACAAATCCAGGTCTCGGGTAAGGCACTTTGCCCTCGTATGTTGTCCACTGGTAATCTGGCCCCTCCTTGTGTGCATAAGCTCCATTAAAGGCTTCCCGTATGTCAGCCATACGATACATGCACACAGCGTAGCCTTGGAAAACATTGCTGAATAAAGTGTAAAGAAAACACACACAAACTGTCAAACATTTGTGCACTGACAAACTCTTGTTTCACAAAATGTTTCAATTTTTAAATGTTCGAAATTCCTTAAAGCTAAGGCGCTATAGGAAATGCAAGGATTATTAGAAATAATCAAATTAGCAGGACATCTTAAAGCGCTTCACAGGATTCACTGTAAAGTGTAGTGACAGTGTATTTGGTAGGTGAACACAGCAGTCAATCTGCACACAGCAATGTCCCACAAACAGGCATAGGGAATTGTTGGCCAGGACATCAGGAGAAATTCCCTTCTCTTTGGAAATACTTGTGGAATTTTTAGTGCCACCTGAATAGGCACGGACAGGACTTTGTTTATTGACGGCACCTCTGGCATTGCAATCGCACCCACCCCACACTGCCCCACCTGCTCTGCACTCTATCGGAACATCAGCCTAAACTGTGAGCTCAAAGTGTTGACCTGGGGCTTGAACCCATAACCTTCTGACTCCAAGGCGAGAGTGCTACTATTGGGCCAGGCTGACACTTGTTGAGTGGGGCCCACGGATACGTTCACCCATTTGTGGTTCCAATCCAGTCCTCTTTCGACACAAATCTCCCATCAGGAAATTATATGAATGTTCCTTTAGGCTTAGAGGGCAGAAATCTCACCCGGAATTAGACGACGTAACAATTTCAGAATTTGGCAGATTCGTAAATTTGAACCCGTTTTTCTGATTGTTTCTATTAATAACTATAGGAAATTGGCTTCAGAGTTAAGACCGAATTCTACAGTTAGTCAGATTCTGTCCATACTGAAATGCTAAAAAATTAGTCAATCTAGACACGCCCTCCGCTCATCTCTCAAGATGTACCTCTTTAACCATGTTTTTGGTTATCTTTCTCTGTCCCCAACCTCCTCAGCTCCCACCCCAGCTTGGTTGCCCATCCAGCACTGTGAATTGCTTTGAGACGTCCTCTTGATGTGAAAGACTCTGTATGAATGTCAAATGTACAGAATCGGAAAACATTGAAAAAATAGAATCAAATGGAATCCTAACCTTATCGTACTGAAAATGCCATAGATTTCTGGATTTTTCTCATCCTTGGTTCTCAGGAGAAAGACGTCCACTGCGATGAACAGTAAAAGAGAGAACAGTTATTCAACAAGCTTCTTTCTATCTTACCATTATCGTCTAACTGATTCAAAGTGAAATCGGAACATGCAAAAAAAACTGTGGAACACACTAACCCAGAAAGGAACACAGCAGGCCAGTAATGTCTCTCTTTGAGACATCAAATGTTCCACCAGCTAATTAGACATTGTCAGATCTTTTAATCCCAATACTCAGCACCTCTACAACCCATGTATTTCACTTTTAAACATCTTGATTGATTCCGCTTTTACAGCTTTCTGGGGCAGATTGTTCTACGTCCTCACAACCCTCTGTGAGAAAAAAAACCCTGACCTCAGTTCTAACTGTCTTGGCTGTGATTTTAAGCCCGTGTCCCACTTGTAAGGGATTTCTCTACCAGAGGGAAGAGTCAAGCACTGTCTAACCTGTCAAACAAGCGAGGATGGGGGTGATGGGCTCGCGGAGCCTAGTGCGGGAGAGAGCTGCAGAGATCTTGGTGGGCAGCTGGATGGAAGTGAAGCCTGGTGTGTGCTTGCTGTAAGATTCCTCAGTAGCGTAAAATCGGGAAGTATGTATGAAGCATACCACAAAAGTGCTCAGGATTCTCAGTTGATGAAATTGACAAGTGTGGTAAAGCAGCTGTTGAAATAATGTGACTGGGCAGTGCTGTCCCGCTGCCCGCATCTGTTGGGTTATTTATTTATTTTTGGTCAGCCGGGTGGCTGACACATACCGAGACCCATCACTGTGCTCACAAGGGTCCAAACCAAACTGAGAATTCCATGCAACTCACCTACGCATAGAAATTCCAGAGATAGATTGATTGTTGGAATGTAATGCGTACTCTCTCCCTGAAGGGATGCCTCTTGTTTACCTACTTCCGGAAAATATTAGGCGCAGGTTGGCAGGAGGAAAGGCTTCAGGAGCCCAGAGTGTGCTGGAGTGTGCTGGAGTCTAACCATCTAAAGCTGCTTAGCTTGTCTGGCAAGCTTTCCTGCTGCTTCTCCACCTTATCTATTAGGGCTTTGGCTTGCAGGGTTACAGGAGATGACTGGAAGGATTTCTTATAATAATAATCCTGCATTTGATATAACGCCTTATCGCATCTTCGAGACATCTCAAAGCGCTTCACAGAAGATACTGTAAAGTGAATTGACTGTATATTTTGTTGGCGAAACTCGGCAGCTAATTGCGCACATGAGTCCCTGCCACCAGTGTCTTATCTGCCCTTCCAAGTCCTGCCGATGAGCCAGGCTGGCTGGGCTGTCATCCGAAGTGCCCTGGAGTACTGCAGACCCGTCTGGTTCAGAAACCAGGCTATTGAGACCGCCACAGAGAGTTGGCTTGACTCTGATATTCCGTTGCCAAGTATGTCCCACCTTGGAGCCAGTTGAGTTCCGGGGGGAGACTCTGCTTACCTCCGCTACTTGGAGGATAACCACATGGGTTTAAAGTGCTTTAGGGGTTCCATTTCTCTGAGGACCTTTCAATCTGTGTTTCCAAAGTAGTTTTCTGTTCTAAACAACACTCGAGAGATTTGCAACACTTGCACAATGAAGGCATTGTTGGAACAGGGCTCGTTCCACATCTGGCTTGTGCTACAGCTGATGTGGGAGTGCTCCCTCTGCTCTGACACTGGCTGATAGAAGGGGAAGCATTCCTCCATTTCCCAACACTCGCATTCCTCATCTTTAAGGCCACAGAAAAGTGCAAAGAACCTGTTGCTTACCGAGGTCATCAAAGTCAGTGTCTATCCCCTCCGGGCCGGGCACAGAGCAGATCAGCCTGGTTTTGATGAAAGTGCTCCATTTATTTACCAGCACCCTTTGGCCACCAGCGTCATTCTGAAAACAGCAGCAATGTAAACAAGTTACCAATTATTAATCACAATAATAATCCTTGTATTTGATACATGTGGAGCCCTGTAGGATAGTGGTTAGAACACTCGCCTCACAAGCAAGAGGACCTGCATTGGATTCCCCTTGGCAGGACGAAACCTTAGGCAAATTTCCTTATTCCACACACCTCTGTTTACCCAGCAATAAGTAGGAACTCAGTTGTTCGTTGATTGACAGATTGCTTTACAGGGGTAATAATCCCTCCCAAAAAAATTTGGTCAATCAATCCACGACTCTTTGTGGGACACTGCTGTGCACAATTAGTCTGCCCCGTTTCGCCCACAAATTACACGGTCACTCCACTTTATTCAATATATTCTGTGAAGCACTTTGAGACATCTCAACAAAGTGACAAGGTGCTATATCAAATGCAAGTATTATTACTATCATTATCGGAAGAGCGAACTTCACAGGATTTACTGTAGAGTGTAGTGACCGCATTTTGTAGAAAAATTCGACAGCCAATTTCCATTCAGTAATGTCGCACGAACAACCCTGAAATGATTGACTGATTTTATCTGGAAGATTGTTGGCGAGGACACCAGGCGAGAGAAACTTCCTTCTCTTTTCAAATAGCACCGTGGGATCTTTAAGGTCCACCAGAACAGGCACAGATGGGACATCGCTCTATTCTCAGGCAGAGCGCTTAACACCATATCCTGTGTGATAGGAAAAGAATGCTTAATGATGGGAATTCATTTCCTGGGAATTTGTGGACAATGGAGAAAAAACACCGATCTTTCCTGATTCCACCAGTTTACAAGAGATTGAACACGGTCAATCTCTTCTAAACTGGCCAGCAGGTTAGGCAGAGGGTTACCAGGCCTGTGTTATCTGATCAATGTTGAGAGAACGGTTAATTGCACTCTGACTGACAGCCTTATTTGATAAGCTTTACAGGCTGTTGATGGCTCTTATCGGTCTCCGATAAACACACACAGACACACATCAGTGTGCGAGAATGAGAGAGCTGCAAGGCAAAGCCTCTACCTCATACCCCAGCTGTCTAACATCTGGAAGTGGAGCACATGTATCTAAGCAGGCGCATTGTTTGTCTGCATCGTAATTGCTCTCTAGCTCTCACAAGCTGCTCAACTCCTTGCAACAATTTGACTGCCTCCTCAGAATGGAAATGCAGAGAACGCCCTACGCTAATAAAAAAATGGGAGAAGGGGGTGGGGGCTCCCTCGTAAACAACTCCAGGTGTTAGCCTGGCTCTGTCAATAACACTCTCGTCCCTAAGTCAGGGTGAATGGGTTCAATCCCCAAGTCAGGACTATGAACTCACAGTCTAGGTTGACGTTCCAGTGCAGTGCTGGGGGAGCTCTGCGTTGTCGGAGGTGCCATCTTCAGACGAGATGTCAAACCGAGGTCCTGTCTGTTCCTGTTCAGGTGGACGTTAAAAATTCCATGGTGCAATTCAAAAAAGAGAAGAGAATTTCTCTCTCCTGGTGTCCTGGCCAACAATCCCCAGATAAAATTAGTCACTCAATTCATGAATATTTGTGGGACATTTTGCTGTGTGCAATCTGCCTGCCACATTTGCCATCAAACTACACAGTCAATCCACTTTAAATATATCCCGTGAAGCACTTTGAAACCTTCTCCTGACGTGAAAGGAGCTATATCCAATGTAATGATTATTAATAACAATTATTATTAAATTAGATATTCAGGGACTGTTTATTTTTTGACTTCCAATACAGTCCTGTCTCTTAGGGCTGGACTCTTGACAGAGTGAACTGAATATTTCTACCTAAGTTGGCTTAAAAAGAATGAAGCCTTTATTTCCCTGAATTCTCTTTCATTGAGGATTTTCTCTCGCCCTCACATCTCCACCCCCCCCACCCCTCTCTCTCGCAACTTCTCCTCCTCCGCTCCTCTGCTTGGCTAACTCAGGCCTGCTGCACACCCAGTACCCCCCGGTGACCATAGTCTCCCAATTCCGGGGACAATCCCCAGATGAGTCCTGGGGGGGAAGATGCCTTGCCTTGTCAGAGGCGCCATCCTTCAGATCAGATATTAAACCAAGACCTTGTTTACCTCTTGAGGGAGATGTTAAAGATCCTGTGACACAATTGGGAAAGAGAAGGGAGTTTGTCCTGCCTTAACAGGGACTGGGAGAGGCGGGGGGGGGGGGGGGGGGGAGAGGATGTGGGGGGGAGGGGTAGCGTATCATAATACAGTAGAGTAATATAATGTTGGTTAATCATCCGTGCAAAATATTAGCCAATCAACAAAAACCTCAACAGCTGCACTCACAGAGCCATAAAATGCTGTGTGATGCTGTGTAATGGTCTGGTTTATGTTTAACAGCAGTTGTGGCTGATATAAAATAAGCCAAATGTGTTTGTACATCTCCCAGCACAGGCATCTTTTTGGCCTGAGCGATGCAGATTGCTGGCTGGTTGCCAGGTTTTGCTCGGTCGATGGGGATTTTTGAACTGTGGCCTTCGCATTCACTGGGAATAATGTGGAGCTGCTCAGATTTTGTTCAGAATTGGAGGAAGGAGGCTTTCCTCCCATCTGCTTTGGCTGCATTGGAGCTCATGTCTCAAAGGAGAAAGGGCTCTGCTATGGCTATTTTATGGTCAGCCTGGCTCAGTGGGTAGCGCTCGTACTTGGGAACTTTTGAGCTCTCACTGCGGTTCTAGGAGGAGCGCTGCATTGTTGGAAGCGCCATCCTTCAGGTGACACTTGAAACCAAGATCCCATTTATCTCTTCAGATAGATGTTAAAGATCCTGTGACATTATCGGAAAAGAGAAGGGAGTTTCTCCCGATGTCCTGGTCAACAATCCCCAATGTAAAACTTGGTCATCGACTTCATGGCTGTTTGTGGGATGTTGCTGAGGCAAAATGACTGCTGCGTTCACCTAATACTTTCAGGTAAGCAGAATCCATCCCTCCAGGGAGAGAGTACACATTCCATTCCAACAATCTATCTCTGGTGGTTTGCATGGAATTCTCATTTTGGTTTGGAGACTCTTAAGCGTGGCGATGGGTTTCTAAATGTGTCAGATAACTGGCTGCCACACACCCCCCCACCCGAAAAACACACAAAACGACATTCACCTACAACATAACCTCAATATCCACAGGCACTGCACTTCACAGCAATTCCCTGAGAAGCGCTTTGAGGTGTGGTGACGCAGGTTTGGATGTTATAGAAACATTTTTGACACACAGACCCGGCAGCGAGACGATTGCTGTCAGTCTGCAGGAATCTAATAAATCTTAGTCCAAATGGAGCACATACACAGAAAAAGAAGTTATGACTGGGCCCCGGGGGGGGCAAGTCAGAATTGTGTGGAACTTTTCTTAATGTCATTGAGAGAATATCAACAGCTTCCTGCAAAAGCCTTGTCAAAAGCATAAAATAATTCCTCCACAAAAAGGCACGAAAATTAATTTATCCAAAATGTAAAGGATTTCCTGATGTCTAGTGTTTTCTGGCATTGGAAAGTCTTAACACGTGTGTTCATTGTTACTGAATGTCAAATATAATAATAATACTTGCATTTTTCGTTCACTTCGAGAGGATGTCTTAAAGTGCTTCACTTGATTTACTGTAAAGTATAGCCACTGATGTATTTTGTGAGCAAACGCAGCTGCCAATTTGCACGCAGCAATGTCCCACTAAATAACCATGAAGTACACAACCAATTTTATCCAGGCATTGTTAGCCAGGACACTGGAAGAAACTTCTTTCTCTTTTCAAAGGTGTCATGGTATCTTTACCGTCCACCTCAACAAGCAGCGGGACCTCGGTTCACAACAACAACAAATTACACTTGCAATATGTCCTTCACGTCGGAAAGCTGTCCCAGAGCGCTGGACAGTCAGGGGTTTTTAATGTGTCATCTGAAGGTTAGGGTCTCTGACAATGCAGGTTTCCCCAGCACTGCACTGGAGGGTCAGCCTAGATGGTGAGCTAAAGGGTTCTAGATATGGGGCTTGAACTCACAACCTTCTGACTCAGTCCCTGGCAGACATCCCTTTGTAGCTAAAGGAGAGAGGATTTTAACTGAACAAAGGCAGGGTTTACCATGTTCTGATGTACTCTATTCCTGATTTTTACTAAAAGAACAACATCCTGCATTTACATAGCGGCCTTCAACGTGCGGCAGTGTCGAGAAGTGCTGTAAAATGGCGCAGTGTCCATAGGCACACTCGAAGAGGAGAGTCTTTAGCTGTGATCTGAAGACGGGCAAAGGGGGGGGGAGGGGGTCAAGGCAGAGTGATCGAGGCAGGGATTTGCAGTGGGTCGGGGTGTGGTGGCTGAATGCACGGCTGCTGATAGTGGAGAGGAGGGGCCGAGGGCTGTGCAGAAAAATACCCGCATGGCTGCAGAGAACCTTGGACAATGACTTTAAGCCCTTAAGATTAAAGCCGATACACAAGGAGAGAAGTGGACATTTGGGGAAGCCAGGACTCGGGCTGTAAGGACAGGCTGGCAGAGACACGTTAGAGAATTGGGTGACTTATGAGCTGAGACTGTAACAACGATGAGTGGCACACACAAATGGAGATAAAGCAGACGATTTGAATTAAACGGTGACCAAGAATTAAAGACCTGTAGAGCGAGCAACGCTTTCTTCGCACAGCCAAGTGTGCGGAGGATATCGAAGTGCGAATGTTTGGCTAGTGTTTGCACACATCGTCAAAGCTGCTACACTTAACAGCACAAGGAATTTATCACCTATTTGCTTGAAATTGATGAGCTCCGGGCAGGACTGGAGATTACAGGCATGTTTTTCCCAGCAAGTCATACTTTATGTGAAACAGATTCCAGCCAGCACAGCTTTTTGCTCGTGATTAACTCCTAAACCAACACAACGTCTAAATACAACTCTCTGGTCCGGATAACAATGTTATTAATAATCTATATATGACTGGTAGCAATCATGTTTATAGTATTTGCGACATTCATATGAATAGTAATATCAGTAATAATGCTCGCATTCGATACAATGCCTTATCATGTCGTCGAGATGTTTCAAAGTGCCTCACAGGATAATAATAAGATGAATCCTTGCATTTGATATAGCATCTTATCACATCTTCTAGATGTCACAAAGTGCTTCACAGTAATATACTGTAAAGTGCAGTGACTGTGTATTTTGGAGGCAAACTCATCAGCCAATTTGTGCACAGCAATGTCACACCAACAGCCATGAAGTGGATGAGCAATTTTGCTTTGGGGGATTGTTACGCAGGACACTAGTAGAAACTGCTTTCTCTTTTCATATAGCACCGTGCTTTTTTTAACGTCCATCTGAAGAGGCACTGACGGGATCTCGGTTTAACGTCTCACCGAAGGAAGGGGCTAATACATTTCTGGGCTTTATGTATGATCTTAAAACAGTTTCGATTGAGACATTCACCTTCATCCCGCTCACTCTCTAACGTATCATTGGCAAGTCACAGCCTTCAGCATATATTAAAACACCTTTAGTGCTATGTCTGTGCTCTGCATCTGTCATCGTTTGGCCTTGCTAAAGAGAGCTATCAAATACCTACTGTGTGAACATTGAAATCAGTTTGTTCAGTTAGACGCAGTCCAAATAATTGGCAAATTCTTTGATTCATTTATTTTGGTCAGCCCGTTTTGGGTGTCTGAAACCCATCACCGCATTTAAGAGTCTCTGAACCAGACTGAGAACGCCACATATGTAATGCCACCTACAGGTGGAAATTTCCCCGTGTCTGGAATGGAATACGCACTCTCCGCTCCCTTTAATTTCCCCACCACCCATCTGCAAAGCGAATCTTGAATATAAAATTAGGCTTTTATTAATAAGAAACATGTGCTCTCTCCCTACTGGGCAATGGGATGTTGCCTTGGTTCAATGGTTAAAATGAATGCTTCAAGGGAAATGTAGTCATATGAGGGGAGATGTCAACTTACAGCACAGACCCTACCGATCCTGCTGTACACCGCGCGACTCTTGCCCTCGGACTCCAGGGCTTTCTCCGTGAAGAAGAAGTAGACTTTGTTGTTATCTTTGTCGTCCGTGTCCGGGATCAGGTGGGCAGCCACGAACTTAGGGTCTGTGAAGATACCAAGATAACAGTAAAGAGAGAGGTCTGATAGTACTCTCCACCTTTGACACAGCGGGAGGACGTTTCAAAGTGCCTCACAGGGTTTACGATAAAGTGTAGTGATAGAGTATCCTATAGGCGAGCACAATAGGCAATTTCTGCACCCATAAACTGCGATGGAGTGAATGACCGATTTTATTTGGGGAATTGTTGACCAGGACACTCCCTTTTTATTTCCCCGATAGGGCCATGGGATCTTTAACATCCACCTGAACAAGCAGATGGGACCTCAGTTTAACGTCTCATCCGAAGGACGGCACCTCCGACAATGCAACACACCCCCAGAACTGCATTGGAGTGTTGGCTTAGACTATGTGATTCAAAATCCCGACATGGGGCTTGAACCCACAACCTTGTGACTCAAGAGGAGAGAGTGTTACCACTGAGCCAGTCTGATGGGCGAGGAAAGTATCTTCTGACAAGATGCTCTTCCTCTTTCACACACACTGTGAATGACCCCAGTGTTCAGCGCTCTCTTACCCTGCAGCAAACGTTGGTCGAGTTCAGTTCTCATGGCTGAGCGAGGCCCCAGGCTACGGAAGATGACGGGATCTCTTCCCAGGAAGTCAGCGGTCAGTCCGGAATATAACTCACCACCTGTAAGTGGAAGGCAATAAGAATTTTAATAATCCTTGCATTTGATATAGCGCTTTATCACGTTGTTGATGTATCCCAAAGCGCTTCACAGAATGTATGTAAAATGGATTGACTATATTTTGTGGGCGAAACACAGCAGCCAATTGAGCACAGCAGTGTCCCACAAACACTCATGGATTGAGTGACCACATTATTTTTTGGAGGGATTACTACCGTCGGAAAGAGATGCGTCAATCAACTAACAAACGGATTCCTACTTAATGCTAGGTAAACTGAGGCATGTGGAATAAGGAAACTTGCCTAAGGTTTCGCCCTGACCGGGAATCGAACCCGGGTCCTCTTGCTTGTGAGGCGAGTGCTCTAACCGATACGCTACAGGACTCCACAGACATTACTATACCTGACAGACGCTATATAAATACAAGCTGTTGTTGCTAAATAAATAGTCAATGTTAATTTCTGGCCACCAATTATCTACACAGGTTTCATTCCTTATTCAGCTTTTCCGAATGAACTCCTTACCGACCAGGGTGCTGGCAAACGGACGGTTGGGGTCATGCGGACACTTGCCACGTCCGTTCCTCACGCCGGCGGGCTCCATCGCAAACATGTGCTTGAGGGAGAAATGCAGAGAGAGGGAGAGAGAAAGAGAGGGGGTCAATGTCGAGAGCGCGCCCTGTTCTGACAGCCATGCCAGAGACTGGATGCTGCAATCCACAGCAAACAATCCCCCCAACACAGGAGAGTAACTCACATGATCACAAGATTGGTTCGGATAAAGAAGACCCTTCGGAACTCTTTGATTCGATCCCTCCTGAATCCCTACCAGACCGTACCCCTCATCATGGCTTTTGGAGTCTTTTCTAAATGAATTCTGCACAATGGTGAACTCCACCAACGTACACCCAGTAAGCCCCAACCATTCCTGTCTGGCACTGTGTAGCATGTGGCCTCATTCCATCCTTCAATTGCCTCCAAACCCTCCCTCTCCTTAGTCTGTGATCTTAAAAGCTTAATATTTAATCTTAATAAAATCTGGAACTCTCTCCCCCAAATGGCTGTAGATGCTGGATCAATTCAAACGTTCAAGACTGCGATCGATAGATTTTTGTTAGGTCAGGGTATCAAGGGATATCGAGCCAAGATCTGATAGAATGGTTTATCAGGCTAGAGGGGAAAGGCCTCCTCCATTTCCAATGCCCCCCACCCTCCACACACACACACAGACACACACACACTGCTGCCCACTTCTTCTGCTCTGCTAACTCAGGCCTGATTCATGTCAATCATCCCCTCTGCCTCTCTGCTCTGACCCTCAACACCATTACACACTCCCGGTCTCTTTACACTGACCCCAACGCAGCCAAGTCCTAGTCTCTCTACGCTGACCCCAATAGCATCAACCCTCCCAGACTCTCTACACTGAGCCCAGGAACATCAGCAGAGATTGAGAATCCTCATCACTATGGGAACCAGTAATATTTAACAGAGTGACATTCTTCACAGAAATCAAGGCAAACTGCAATGTACAGTTCAAATAACCTATAAAAATAGTTTCCGACTGTCTTGTTCCTCCTGGTAACTGGAACAGACAGAAGGATGTGAGCTTGCCCCGGAATTTCCCAGCTGTAAACTATTCCTAGAGTCGGCTTGGAGCAATAAGTTCCCATTTGTGGAGAGCTGAGTGGCTCAGTCTCTCTACAGTGCTTTGTATAACATAAATGGCTATTCAGCCCCAGGCTCCAGCTTCTCAGCAGCAGCTTATATAGCATGACATCATCTGGTGTCTCCCACCCCCCACCTCCCCCGGAACACTAGAAACTCTCAAGCGTCAATTATTGTCCATTTCAAAAATCCCGCTCCAAGCAACTTAGAGCTCTGGGGAGTCAATGAATCCAAATCATTGTGTCAAATACTAGCTAAAAGCTTGTACTCTTTTTCCTCTCTCCTCAGGCATAATCAGCCAGTACGAACATCTATCTCAGTGAGTCATCCTGGCTCAGTCTGTAGCACTCTTGCCTCTGAGTCAGAAGATTGTGGGTTCAAGCCCCACTTTGGGATTTGGGGTTCATTGTCCAAACTGACCCTCTGTTGCGGTCTCTAGTCCGGTTCCTGAGCCGGATGGGTCTGCAGGACTCCAAGGCACTGCTGATAACAACACAGCCAGCCTGCCTCATCGCCAGCATCTGGAAGAGCAGTCCAGTCACTGGGGGCAGGGAATCCTCCCACTCAGCTCTTGTTAACACTGCAAGCCAAAGCCCGAACTGGTAGGGTGGTCCTTACTCGACAAGCAGCTGAAAAGATTGTCGGACAGCAATACCAATAGCAAGCTACGTGATTTTAGCTGGTTGGACTCCAACAGTACCCCAACACATACTCTGGAGTCCCCAAGCCTTAGCTCTTGCCAATCTGCGTCTCATACCTGCCAGAATTAGGTAAGCAGGAAACATCCCACCAGGGAGAAAGTGCACATTCCATTCCAACAATCTAACTCTGAAATTTCCATGTGTAGGTGGGATGCATGGAATTCTCAGTTTGGTTTGGATACACTTAAGCACGGGGATTGGCCCCCGCATGTGTCAAGACACCCGGCTGACCAGAAAAGAATCAGCACTGGGGGAGCGCTGGGTTGTGAGAAATGCTGTTCTTCAAATGAGACATTAAATTTCTCTCCTCTGATGACTTCCCCGTTACCGATTGGAGCTTGCAGGAAACACTCCTTGATGAATGGAAAATCAGCATCTCATTTATACCACAAACAGCCCTTTGTTGGAAGTGAAGGCATGTGAAGTGAGCGTGGTGGGGCAGGGACCTCTGTGTGGATCTCCTGCAGTGTGGAGCCTTACAGCGAAGGTCAGTTCAAAGACTGACTGGGGATGTGACGCCGGTTAGGACAGCATGTAGTCAACAAAGGTCATAGTGTGATCCTGTGGGAGTGAAGGGGGCAGGAAACTTACCGATTAACTTCTGGTTGATTTATGGCCCAGGCAGTGAGCCATTGACATCTGATGCAATCCAGCAGATCAACATCTCTACAGATAAGCTACAGCATCTGGTCAGGCCACACCTAGAGTACTGCATACAGTTCTGATCACCATGACATAAGGAAGCTACCCAGGCCTTGGGGGCAGTGCAGAGAAAAGCAACGAGGATGATTCCTACTGTTAGAGGATTGAGCTATGATTGAGCAACAATCAGACAAGCTTGGGCTCTTCAGTCTTGAGAGAAAATGACTCAAAGAGGAACTTATGGAGATGTACAACATTTGAAAAATCCAGATCAATACTTTAGGATACATCGGGACAGCAGAACAAGAGGATCCAGGTTTAGAGTTCTAAAGGGCAATTTCAGGACAGATATCAGGAAGTCTTTCTTCACCCAGAGGGAAATTAATGACTGGAACAGGTTGCTAGGAAGTTTGGTTGAGGCCAGGACACTGGGACTCATTTGAAAAAAAACAACTCAATGCTGTGAGGGGAGGATGTAGGCAGATGTTCTGGAGAAATGAGATCAGATGGGCTGAAGAGACTTCTTCATTCAAACCGATTTGTGATCGTGTGAGTCCCTCAAATATATCCCTTGGTTAGGATCAAGAGGCCTCGGTTTATTGAATTGTTCCTCGAAGCTCATTTGACACTGAACCTTGTTAATCTCCTCTAAACGAATGGCCTCTTAAGTGACTGTGAACAGAACTGACTTGGCCAGAGCACTGCAGCGACTGTAATGTGTGGATCATCGCATGTCAAAGTGTCACAAGCGAGTCTCCTCTTACCTCTCCCCGGTGTCCCACATTCACAAAGCCACACACAGGCTCAAAGGCTCCTGTTCCACACGCCAGTAAGTGTGTCCTGTTGTATGGATGCAGCACACGGACGTAGTTCGCACATTCAGTCTGTAACAGAGAGGAGCAAAGAGATAAGTGACACGGTAACATTCAGAGGATTTTTATAATAATAATTCTTCTTGCATTTAATATAGCACCTTAACATGTCATTGAGACGTTTCAAAGCACTTCCCAGAATATACTGTAAAGTGTATACTTTGTGGGCAAAACACGGCAGCCAATTCCACCAAAGTCGTGGATTGAGTGACCAATTTTTTTTAAAAGGGATTATTACCCTCTGAAAGCGATCCGCCAAATGACTAACAACCAGGTTCCTACTTACTACTAGGTAAAACAGAGACTTGTGGAGTAAGGAAACTTGCCTAAGGTTTCGCTCTGCCAAACCCGGCTCCGCTCGCACGCGAGCCGAGTACTCTAACCAATACGCTGCAGGAATTTTTTTCCCCCCCGGTCAGCCGTTATTCGACACAAGCAGACACCCATCAATGCAGTACGTCTGCAAGTACACAGTCACCTCACTTGACAGATAACTGTGAAATGCCTTGTGATATTATGACGTAATGAGGTGTTGTATTTCAGGTGTAAGTTAAAAATTCTGCAAAGCGGAAAAGAGAAGGGAGTTTCTCCTCAATGTCCTGGCCGAAAAACCTTTAGATAAAATTAGTCATTCACCGCATGGCTGTTTGCAGAACTTTGCTGTGCACAAATTGGCTGCTGCTTTCACTTACAAAATACAGTTACTAGACTTCGCAGTAAATCCCGTGAAGCGCTTTAAGACATCCTGACATGAAAGGCTCAATACCAAATCAAGTATTATTTTTTATTATTATTATTGCCTCTATGTGGCATAAAACTTAATTTTCCTTTTCACATAAATAGTTATCTGAAAGCCAAGATGCTGAGATGTTTATCTTGTACAGTACGGTATATATCCCATGAATCTCTTTGGGATGTTCTCCTGACGTTAAAGGTGCCATTTAAAATGTAATATAATATTGCCACTGAAGGTTTGATCTGGACACCTCTGTGCTATTCTAACCATGTGTGGTTTTCCGTGAGAATCAGGGGCACTTTTCTGTACATAGTGCTCTCCAGTTGAGACCTGTGGCCCAAGGATAACTGAGGTGTTAAAGATTTGCCCAGTTATTGGGCAAAGACCATTGAGTATCACTGTATTCCGAGGTCAAAGAATCACAGAGCTTCACTCCATCTCTGACTTGCAACACTCTGTGAATTGATTTGCTCTTACAGGTCTAATGGCAATCCACGGGCTGCTAATGAGTTAATTTCCTGCTTTGACACATCAAAGCCTGACCTGGTTATCATTCCCCACCCTTTGATCTTTTGCTCACCCCCTGCATTTGGCTAACTGTGGCTCGCTGGGCATCCCCCTGCCCCCTCCCTTCGCCTGAAATCAATGACTGAGCCTTCAGCAACTAAAGCCCTAACCTCCCACCCCTCTATCTGCCTCTAAATCACGGGTCTCCAACTGGTTGATCACCGCTAAGTGACATCTCGCTCACGCTCAATAAAAACAAGAGGAAAGAGCGATATTTACTGCAGTTTATATTTTTATTCAGTATTAATAAAAGTTTATATTTTTATTTTGAGATGTGTGAAATACTTTTTGCATCGGGGATTTGTTTCGAATTGGTCTCAATAAATATGCAGTTCTATCTTGTCTTTTTGAACATGCACCAATGGTGGGTCAGGCAGGGTGGAGGGTGTAGGCCAGTGCCCACTGGGCAGAGGGGGTGGACGGGTTGGTACAGGGTTAGTGGGTTGCAGAGGTAGGGTGGAGCGAGACCGTGGAAGCCTTTATAAGCAAGGACTAAGATTTTAAACTAGATCCTCTGAAGGACGGGAGCCAGTTGAGCCGGTGGGGGCGAAGATGGGGGTGATAGGTTCACGGAGCACCTTCAGAAGCAGGTTTAAAGGCCAATGTTTGGAAAGTTGTTCCAGTTTCCAAACAGGAGCAGGAGATTAGCAACAAAGAACGAGCCAAATTGTTTGAAAACCAAGCGTATTTTTACAGAATAAGTGAAACTCGAGCTAAAATTATACTTGCTTTTGCTTCACAATAATACAACAACAACTTGGATTTATACAGCGCCCTCCACGCCGGACAGTGTCTCAGAGCACTTCACAATAACGGATCCCGGGGCCGAGTCAGGGGGAGGGGGAGGAAGGTGACCAAAGGCGCGGTCAAAGAGAAAGGTCTTCAGCAGAGACCTGAAAATAGGATGAGAGGGAGCGAGGCGAAGGGAGTGAGGAAGGGAGTACCAGATGTTAAGTGCAATGATTTGACATTTACACACAGCAATATCCCATAGGCAGGTGAGTGACCCATTTTATTTGGGGGATTGTTGGTCATGACTCTAGGAGACATTCCCTTCTCTTTTCCAATAGCGCAACAAGATATTTCACCTACAAAATATACAGTCAATTCGCTTTACAGTATATTCTGTGAAGTGCTTTAAGACATCTCAATTCACTTTACAGTGTGTTCTGTGAAGCGCTTTGGGACGTCCTCCCAACGTGAAAAGCGCTATGTCAAATGCAAGGATTATTATCTCGAAGACATGAAAAGCACTATATCGAATGAAAGGATTATTATTATTATTTAACGTCCACCCGAAGAGGTGCAGATGGGACCTTGGTTTAACATCTCAACCGAAGGACAGCAGTTCTGGCAGTACAGTACTCCTGCGCTGTGAGTTCAAAGTCCCTGACAGATAACAAGCATTGTTCTCTGTTGTTTTAATGTCGTCAATGGTAAAAGCATTCTTTCACACTCCCCCCACCAAGACACAGGCCAGATTTCCAGCCCATAACTCTGAGCTGTGCTGTGCGTAAATAAATCCTCCACACTGTGTGACTGACTCCCTGACTCAATCCCTGATCCAGCTGGGCTTTTTTTTTGCTGGCCTTCTTATCTCTTGCCAGTCTCCCATGCCCTGTAAACAATGAAGGGAAGCAATAATAGGAGCTCACAAAGTAAAAACTCTCAACTGTTAACCACAATGTGAGCGGGAGCAGCAGAGTTCTGCGATTAGGCGCTAGTTTACCCTTTAAAGTATGTTTCAGGTCAGTGGGTCGCTTTCCTATTACAAAAGCGTTCGTTCCCCAGGAAATACCTGCCCCATTGTTCTTGAGGGACACTGAAATGTGTGTCTCCCTTTCGACGCTACGTTTCCCAGTGCGACACAGACTCTGCAGTCCCACAGATAGGCGTCTCCCTGGTGGTATCAATGTTTCTACAGTAACCCTCCCTTGTTGATAAAAGAGCTTCTCCAGAGGTTAGGAAGCGGCCATCAAAATGTTCGATAGCAAAGCAAAATAAATGATTACTGCTAAGAAGCATGAGAGAAACAGAGCAGAGCTCCTCCACTGAATATGGGTCAGAGGAGCAGGTCACAGGCAGCTCCCACACTACAGACAGGCGTTCTCGGTTATCGGTTGAAGAAGTCCCATAGTGGAGTCGTTAGAACATTCGCCTCGCAAGTTTCCTTACTCCACACGCCTCTGTTTACCTAGCAGTAAGTAGGAACCCAGTTGTTAGTCGATTAGCAGATCACTTTCTGGGGGTAATAAACCCTCCCCAAAAGCTAATAATAATTTGGTCACTCAATCCACGACTGTATGTTGGACATTGCTAAGCGCAATTGGCTGCTGTGCTTCATCCACATAATATATAGTCAATCCACTTTACAATATATTCTGTGAAGGGCTTTGAAACGTCTCAACAATGTGATAAGGCTCTTTATCACATAGAGTCCTGTAGCTCAGTGGTAAGAGCACTTGCCTATCAAGCGAGGGACCTGGGTTCGGCAGGGCGAAACCTTGGGCAAGTTTCCTTACTCCACACACCTGATAATAATCCCTCAAGAAAAAAACAATAATAAATTGGTCACTTCAATCCACGACTGTTTGTGGGACACTGCTGTGTGCAATTTGGCTGCCGCATTTCGCCCACAAATATACAGTCTATTCTGTGAAGCGCTAAGAGACATCTAGAAGATGTGAAAAGTGCTATATCAAATGCAAGGATTATTATTATATTATTATTACATAAAATGAAAGGATTATTATCGGTCGTGGTTTCACACATTCTCCAAGATGAGGAGAAGTGTGGGAAGCAGGCTGCCTTGCCACAAGTGCATCAATTTCCTTATACGTCATTATATGGCTCTGGTTTCCACTTATTCTTCGATTCCCTCACCCTCTCATAAAATATCAATAATATAAAATCTCTGCAACGCTCCCAGAACTCCACCCTGCTTCCTTCAAGACTTTTATCTCCATAAAAACTATGGGACTGTTTACTGAAATACCAGGTTGGCAATGAGATTGCTGTGATGTGTGGGGACCGGAAGAAATTATGGCTGTTTGTAGGATATTGCTATGAGCAAATTGGCTGCTATGTTTGCATTGTTCTAGCTGGACAAGCAACAGGAAGCTTGTCAGATAGAGCTCTCACTATCAAGCTATATGGTTGAACTCCCGCAGTACCCCAACCACACTTTGGGGTCTCCAAGCCTTGGCTCTTGCCAACCACGTCTGATTCTCTCCAGAATCAGGTAAACAGGATGCATCCCTCCAGGGTGAGAGTGCACATTCCATTCCAGACACAGGAAAATTTCCCTGTATAGGAGGTGTAGATATGTAGAACTCTCATCAGTCTGGTTTGCATACTGTTAAACATGGTAATGCATTTCTGCATGTGTCAGACATCCAGCTAACCTCAAAAACACACACAGTCACTACACTTTATACACTTTACAGTAAATCCTGTGAAGTACTTTGAGACGTCCTCCTAAGGTAAAGGCACTATATCAAAATCAAGGTTTATTATTGTTATTATTATTAATAATAAAGAACTGAGTTAACAAAGCAAACAAAACAGACCTGACTATACGTTATAACAATAAAACAGAAACATTCTGATAACATAGAGATTTTACTCTAAAATGGTTGACCTGGGATAATGGGAACTCTTTTAAACTGGAGCTAAAAAACAAAGCCTTTTGAAGTTCTAAATGATATTTTTATGACTCATCAATACGGTTTACTATGGATGATAAATCGTGTTATACTTACGAAGGGGTCCTTTCCCTTGAGAGCACATTCCTCCCTCTGACCAGACAGGGGCGGCCAGTAAATCTGTGAAGAACAAGAAATGGAGAGGTTGTTAAAACGGGATTAAATAATAATATATTGGAGACGTGATTAATGTGCACATGTCCAGCGAGTGCTTGTGCCTGTCCCCAGCGTGCTAATCGACAATTAACACGGACACTAGGCTTTGCGGTTGCAATGTGATATATACAAAGCATGTTATTTCCCCGAAACATTTTGTCCCATAAAAATTCACAGCACGGCACTCAAAGCCACATGGATGCCATATGAATGCGGTCTAAGACATGCTGCCTAGTGTTGGAATTGGAAGCCACATAGTGTTTTGTCACACTCCAGTGCGGTGCTGGGGATGTGGTAATTGTCGGAGGAGCCATCCTTCGGATGAGATGTCAGACAGAGATCCTGACTGACACTATTTGGAAAAAGAAAGGAGTTTCTCCTCGTGTCCTGGCAACAATCCCCTCAAATAAAATTGGTCCTTCACTCCTTTAATGCTGTTTGTGGGACACTGCTGTGCGCAAATTGGCTGCCATGTTCACCCGTAAAATACACCCAGTCACACCAGGTTACAGTCTACCCTGTGAAGAGATCTGAGATGTTTCGACAACATGATATGGTGCTGAATTCAAATGCAAGGATTATTATAAGTTGTTGTTGATGGGGTCAAGCCACATGTCAGTAAATTTGAGCAAAGGGAATTAGCTGCAGAGTGATGTTATGGAGTTTGCATGTCGAACTGACAGAACGACACATTTGCTTCAGATCACAAAGAGACATGAAAAGGCATGAAACAAGTATTGTTAGGAATGTGTGACTCCAGAGCAGATTCCAACAGGAATCAATGTCCCTAGGCGGAACAGATGTCTCCACAGGAACGTGTGTTGTGGCATCCATGTGATGGACAACACCACATGGAATGCTGTTCCAGGAATTTGGTTCTCTTTAGATTTCTTGTCATCCTTCTTAGATGATCCACGCTTGTCACTCGTCACTGAAACCCCAACATCTCTCTTGTTTCCCCACTCGAGATGTCTCAAAGCCCTTTTTGAATTTTCTGTAAAGTGTAGGGACTGCTATTTTGTAGTGGGCAGGTGGGCGTGTCAGATCCAATGAAACTCTGATAACTCATCACCCTGAGGAAAATAGCCCAAATGAGTACTTATCAGAGTTGACCAGTTATCTAAAGTACAGTGTCTCAAAAGTACAAAGTACTCAAATAGCTGGGATATTGAGTGAATGATTAGTTATGTGGGGTTGACTACCTATCCGAGGGGCTAGGTATCAGAGTTTCACTGTATGTACGATTTGACTATTGGTTATATAAGCACTTGGAGCCAATCTCCAGATGTGGAAGGCATTAACTTGTCAGCCTGGCTCAGTTGGTAACACTCTCGCCTACTGAATCAGAAGGTTGTGGATTCCAGCCCCATGTCAGGACGTTGCATTCACAGTCTAGGCTGATGCTCCAGTGCAGTGTTGGGGGCATTATTGCGTTATCAGAGGTGTTGTCCAATGGATGAAATGTGAAACTGATGCCCTGTCTGTGCTTACTCAAGGTGGACATTACACACCCCATGGGATTATCAGAAAAGAGAATGGAGTTTCTCTGGGTATCCTGACTGACAATCCTCCAGGAAAAAATGAATAGGGTCACTTCACATCATGACTGCTTGTGGAACAAACAGTTGTCATGTGCAAATTGGCGGCAGTGTCTGCCTACAAAATACATAGTCACTACACTTTACAGTGAAATCCTGTGAAGCGCTTTGAGACATCTGTCCTCACACACATATACACACCATTGTTGTGACTCTAGCCTTTGCCTCTAACCTTGGTATCTGGAAATCCAACACAAGGGGCTATTACCACCGGAAAGCGATCCGCCAATTGACTAACAGTCAGGTTTCTCCTTATTGCTAGGTAAACAGAGGCGTGTGGAGTAAGGAAACTTGACTAAGGTTTTCCCCCACCCGGGAATTGAACCTGGGTCCTCTCACTTGTGAGGCAAGTGCTCTAACCGCTATGCTACAGGACTCCAGCTAGTCCAGCAAGTAGGCTAAGTCAGTCACTGTTTTCATTCCCCCACCCCACCGCTCTCTCACCCCTGTATCCCCTCTCCCTCACTCACACACATCACAGCTTTTTAATCAGATTTAACTTGAGTCATGTTGGACCTGTTTCAAAAAGCAATCTCCCTTCCAGCTTTCCACCTGCCTGAGTGCAGTCATTTTTTGGCAGTTAACAAGTCCAATGCATACACAATGTATTCATGCCCTGAAGGAAACAATTTATTACTGTCCAATAGCTGTGATAACAACCCTCCACCCACACTCCTTCCGCTCCCCCTCCCCACCCTCCCCTCAATTCTGAGATAGCTTGGCTCTGTTAAGATATGACCATACTCCTGAGGCCAACATAAGCACCTTACCTGACTGCCAATGATCAACAAGCTAGGTTGTACGGTTTTGCGAAAAAGAAAAAGCAAAGAATTTATGTCCAGAAAAAACGTAACCTTAACTCGCCTGCTCCATGTATGTCTGCTATCGTTGGCCGTCAAAGTCCCAATCATTCTGTCCGTCAAACGTCAAGTGTATAACAACAATAATCCTTGCATTTGATATCGCGCTTTAACACGTCATTGAGACATCTCAAAGCGCTTTACAGAATATACTGGAAATTGGATTGACTGTATATTTTGCGGGTGAAACACTGTAGGCAATTACGCACAGTAGTGTCCCACATGGATTGAGTGACAAATTTTCGCCAGTTGACTGAGAACCAGGTTACTAGATAAACAGAAGCATGGGTAAACTAAACTTGCCTAAGGTTTTGCCCTGCCCAGGAATCCAACTCGGGTCCCCTCACTTGTGAGGCAAATGCTCTAACCAATACGTTACAGGATGTATTGTATCAGACAGACAACATCTGCTTCGCTGTATCGTCTTCCTCCCTACAAACCCAAAGCACTCAACCCATGTCTTCTACCTCCCTCACATTTTCCGTCATTGCTCCTACTACAACTCCCACCCTTTGCCCCCAATTCACCCTGCTCCTGCTCAACCATCAAATGAAGCCCATAGGAACGCTACATTGTCAGAGGTGCTGTCTTTGGATGAGATGTTAAACTGAGCGCAAATTGACCTCTAAAATTGCCTGCAAAACTCAGTCACTACACTAAACAGGAAATCCTGTGAAGCTCACTGAGATGTCCACCTGACACAAAAGGCTTTGATGTATCAAATGCAAGGATTATTCTTATTAAAATTCTTCTAAAGGCTGATAAGCAGCTATATGCAAGTCACAGTCAAGTCTCTCCCCACCTGGCAACCAGACACATACAACCAGTAGAAGGTGCTGTAGAGAGAGCAGAAGCCCTGGCTGGTTTTCCCCTCCCTGACCCAAGGAAGTTCAAGGGCCAATTTAGCCTCCCCACACAGCAAACTCAGCACTGACCGGGATCCCAACCCATAAACTCCTGATGCGTAAGATGCAGGTTTATCCATTACACCATCAGGGTTGCCCTGACTTCACTTTCCAGCTTGGCTTCTGGACGGGGCAATAATTGGCTCCAAAATTGCCTCTCCATTTGTTGACTCTGGCAGACAGAGAACGCTTTAATTAAAATTCAGCGGTGACCTGTACTGTTTGCGTGGCTCACTACAATAACATCTCGTGGTGAAATTGGAGCTCAGAGAGTGTTAGCAAAGCATCTAGAGCAGCAATTTACATCATCCAGTACTTAATTGTTCATTGTTCTTCACTTGCAATTGAGTTAATTTTCCTGAAATGGGTCAGTCAAAGATTTAAGAAAATAATGATTGAATTCAGCTGTATTTTCCCCTCAACTCGATTTCAATTCAAAATTAATTCTATGAGTTAATTTCAGAGGTTTCTTGAGGTCTTTGACATTTCATTAAGTTCCCTTGTGGGCCAGTTATTATGATTGATGTTCGCTGGGCAATGAACTAAACAACATCCTTTCATTCTGGACCGCAATTTTAGTAATAATCTTGGTGCTTGATGTAGCACCTTTAATACTGAAACACCTCAAAGCGCTTCATAATTTTTCCTGAAAGTTGAATTAATGTGTATTTTGTGGGTTAACACGGCAGCCAATTTGCGCAAAGCAATGAACAAACAGTCATGAAGTGAATGACCGATTTTATCTGGGAGATTGTTGACATGTGGGTAAACTCCCTTCTCTTTTCTGATAGTGGTGGGGGATCAGAATTAAAGCCAGATAGCAGGGAGGGGTTGGGGGGTGTAAGGTGGAGAAGAGGTAGAGGGAGGTAATTTCAGGAGCTGAAGGTTCGGACACTAATGGTGGTGCGGAGAGGGCAGGGGATGGGTAATAGGCCACAGTACGTTTATTTCACGAAGGAAAGTGTAACAGTAAGTTACCTCTTTGGTATCCCGATCCATGTGGCCCGGTCCAGCTGGATGGAGTAGATGGTGTCTTTGGCTCCAATGAAGAGACGGTCGTGATATTCATCGAGGAACATTGAACGAAAGTCCAGGAATCCACGGAAGCCAAAGAAAATGACGGATCTGTTGGTCATCAGGAGATCTGGAGGAAAGAATGTAACGTCTTTAGTCACCTGGCATTTGTCACATCCAGTCTGGCTCCACACCTGTGGGTCTCAATGTCACTGCCATCAACAACAACAATTGTGGAGTCCTGTAGATTATTGGTTAGAGCACTCACCTCACAAGTGAGAGGAGCCAGGCTCGATTCCTAGTCGGGGCGAAACCATAGACAAGTTTCCTTTATCCAGCCTCTGTTTACCTAGCAGTAAATGGAACCTGGTTGCTGGTTGATTGGTGGATCGCTTTCTGGGGTAATAATCCCTCCAAAAAAAATGTGGTCACTCAATCGCCTTACCACGTTGTTGCGACATCTCAAAGCGCTTCACAGAATATACTGTAAAGTGAATTGATTGTATATTTTGTGGGCGAAACACGCTAGTCAATTTTTGTGCACAGCAGTGTCCCACCAACAGTCGTGGATTGAGTGACCAATTTATTATTTATTTATTATTATTTTTGTGGAAGGGAATATCACCCACGGAAATGAGAAACGGCCATCGACTAACAACTGGGGATAAATTTCTGGGTGTCATAAAAATTGAAAAATTAAAAAAAATTTGGTCACTCAATCCATGACTGTTTGTGGGACACTGATGTGCACAATTGGCTGCTGCATATAGTGAATTTCTTAAAGTATAGTCTGTGAAGCGCTTTGAGACGTCTCGAAGAGGTGATAAGGGGCTATATCAAATGCAAGGATTATTATTATTAACAACAACAACAATTTGCATTTACATAGCACCCCTTGAAAGAGCAAACCGTTCAGTCCTACTTACCTGCCCTCCTATTACAGACAATTACAGTCTGGAAGTAGGCTGTTTGGGAGAGCAGAAGAAGGTAGGCTGGGTGGGGGGCGGATGATTGAAAGCACAATCATAGAGATATGTCTTAGGATGAGCTTCGCTATACAAATGTAATCTTGTTGTTGTTGTTAAAAGCTGGACAGGAGGGTGGGAGTCAGTGGGAATGTGGGATGGGGTTCCAGCGACTGGGGAAGGATGGCTGAAAGCTTACCCTCTGATAGTGGGGTGACAGGGGATATAAAGCAGGCTGGTGTTCACTGAGCAGAGGGAGAGGTTGGTAGGGACACAGGAGTAGGGCAGGGCGAAGCTGTAGAAAGGTTTGAAAGGAGGACGTGGATCTTGAATTCAATCCGCTGGGGGATGGGGAGGCAGCTGAGCTGAGCGAGGACGGGGGTGATGGGCTCACGGAGCCTGGTAGGGGGGAGGACACAACACTATCTCCTGTATCTTGCAAGGAATCTCAGTAAAAAGCCATCAGTCAGTTAACGTATCTTATTTCTTTGAACTCAGTCACCTCATTTTTCTCTGAGCCCTATAATAATTGAAAAGGTTTTGGTGTAACACACACGAGCTTCCCATCCCCTATACACCAGCTGTCTACAGTTTTCTCAGTAAATCGATGTGGACAGGTGCTAATTGGACAATCTTGGCTCACTTTGTAATAAAAATAATAATAATCTTCACATTTGACGCAGTGCCTTATCACGTCATCGAGATATCTCAAAGCGCTTCACAGGATTTTACTGTGAAGTGCAGCCACTGTATTTCGTAGGTGAACTCAACTACCAATTTGGACACAGCAATTACAATAAATTGACACTTATATAGCACCTTTCACGTTGGGAGCATGTCCCAAAGTGCTTAATAATTCTGCAATGTCCCACAAACAGCCAATGAAGTGAGGGACCAATTTTTTTTCTGGGGAATTATCGACCAGGACACGAGGAGAATCTCCCTTCTCCTTTTAAGTAGAGTCATAGAATTTTTAATGTTCACCTCAACAGGTAGACAGGATCTTACTTCAATGTCTCATCTGAAGGATGGCACCACTAGCAATGCAGTGCTCCCTCTAGCACTACACTGGAGTGTCAGCCCAGACTGTGAGCTCGATGTCCCTGACGTGGGGCTTAAACCCAGAACCTTGAACCCACAACTTTGACAACAGAATCAAAGGGGAGACAAGGAGAATTTTTTTATTACCCAGCGAGTTGTCACGATCTGGAAAAGGGCGGTGGAAGCAGATTCAATAATAACTTTCAAAAGGGAATTGGATATATACTTGAAAAGGAAAAATTTGCAGGGCTGTGAAAAAATAGCGGGACAGTGGTGGGTAGCTCTTTCAAAGAGCCAGCACAGGCACGATGAGCTGAAATGGCCTCTTATTCTACTCTGGCTCAGAGGTGAGAGCGCTATTGACTGAGCCAGACTGACGCCAGCATGCCTGCCTTGGAGTGAAAACCCGAAAGCCTTTGCCTCCATTTGTAAATGGGCAAAGAACCATAAAAGCACAGTATTGCATGGTCAGCAGAAAGAAAAGACTGGATTTCAAGTCAGAAAGTTTAAAGAAAACAAAAGTGTCTATTTAATCCAGTGTTAATACTTGTTTGCAGTGCTTTGCAGTGTGGGAGCAGGCTGTGAGCCAAACGGCTATTATAGTAAAGGATGACCAGATGTTCCGGTCTGATCGTGGCTTGTCCAAATTGTATTTCCCTGGTCTCATTAGCCTGCACGCTGCTTTGGGAATAGATTAGCATCTCAGCCTTAATCCATCTCTGATTCACACAGTAAGCTCTTGTACAATTCAGCATCTGGTTTTGAATACAACAAGCAGCCTGACCTCCCCATCCCTCTCCCCATCCCTCTCCCTCCCCATCACGCCCCCTCATCCCTCTCCCCCTCCCTGCTCTCTCTCCAACTCTCTCCCACTCGCCGTCCCTCTCCGCATCCTTTTCCCTCTCCTCGTCTCTCCTCATCCCTCTGCCCCTCCCCATCCTTCTCCCCCATTTTCTTCAACATCTCTACCTACCACTACTCCCAACCCATTCACCTCACCTTGTCTCCCATTACGTGTCAGCCTGACTCAGTAGATACACACTGCAGCCTTTGAGTCAGAAGGTTGTGGGCACAAGCCCCATATCAGGACTTTAAGCTCGCAGTCTAAGATGAAACTCCAATACAGTGCTGGGAAGTGGTGCATTCAGAGGCACTACTTTTAAAGCCTGGCTTAAGACCTGTCTTTTCTTAAATGGCCTGATTCTAATTTTAAGACTATGCCCCCTTGTTTTGGATTCTGCTGCCAGAGGAAATAGCTTCGCTGTATCTACCCTTTATCATCTTAAATATCCCAATCAAATTACCCCTCAACCTTTTAAACTCAAGGGAATACAATCCAAGTTTATGCAGCCTTTCCTTGTAACTCAACTCTTTAAGGCCTGGTAACATTCTAGTGAACCTGCGCTGCACCCCCTCCAGGGCCAATATTTCTTTCCTGAAGTGTGGTGCCCTCCTGTTGTAATGACGGGAGAAAATATCAAAACGCTTCACATGATTTACTGTAAAGTGTACTGACTGTGTATTTTGCAGACGGACGCGGCTGACAATATGCGCACAGCAGTGTCCCACAAACAGCCATGAAGTAACAACCAACTTTAACTGGGAGATTGTTGGTTAATGAAGTGATATTGGTTGATCTCAGCAATATTCACACCTCATCTTTTGGTAGGTTCGATAATGTGTACAAGGCCTCCCCTGAGCACAGCAGAGGGCTGGTTGTACGGAAAAGACTTAAATGCACTAATATATTATCTTAGTGGTAAAACTGTTCCTCGCTCTCTAGGCTTCCCTTCTGTCTCCAATGTGGGGCACACTTATGTTTAGTTTGGTTGATTCAATTTGAATTCGATTTTGTTCCAAAGAGGAAAGAGAAAGGGAGAAACAGAAAATGAGAGAGAGGGAGGGAGAGAGAAAATGAGTGACAAAGGGAGAGAGGAAGAGAGAATAAGAGGGCGGTAGAGAGGGGGAGAAAGGAAAAAAAGTGTGAAAAAATGAAAGAGAGAGAGGGGAAGGACTAAAGAGAAAGGGGAAAGAGAGGAAGAGAGAAAAAAGCAGAAAGAAACAGAACAAGTGAGAACAAGGGAGAGAGAAAGAGAGGAGGGAGACGAAAAGAGAAAGACAGAAAAATAATGAAAGAGAGCAACAACTTGCACTTATATAGTGCCCTCCACCCAGGGTAGCGTCTCAGAGCGCTTAACAGTGGCGGAGCCTGACTCTGAGCCGGGGGGTGTGTGTGACCATAAGCACGGTCGAAAAAGAAGGCTTTCAAGAGGGACTTGGAATAGGTGAGAGAAGGGGCAAGGCAGAGGGATTGAGGGAGAGTGCTCCAGAGTAGAAAGAGGGAGAGAGAGATCTTATATTTTTGTAGCACTTTATCGTATCAAATGTTTCAACATACGTAATAGATGATCAGAGACAAATTGTGGTCAGTGTTTTTATAGGCAAACCCAGCAGTTATTTTGTGCCAGTAATGTCCCACACGCAGTGGTAAAGTGAAGGAAAATGTCAGAATTGTCAGCCAGGACACCAGGGAAAAACTCCCTTCTCTATTCGAAAAGTGCCAATGGGATCTTTATCCCTTTGTGGAGTCCCATAGCATACCACAGCATAGTGATTGGTGCGCTTTCAAGAGAGAGGATGTGGGTTGAATTCCCTGGCGGGGTGAAACCTTAGGCAAGTTTCCTTACTCCATACACCTCTGTTTACCTAGCAGTAAGTAGGAACCTGGTTGTTAGTCGATTGGCGGATCGTTTTCCGTGGGAAATAATCCCTCATTCAATCCACGACCGTTTGTGGGATACTGCTGTGCACGATTGGCTGCCGAGTTTCGCCCACAAAATACACAGTCAATATTTTCTGAGATGTCTCAATGTGATTAGGCGTTTTATCGAAGGCGAGTATTATTATTATTAATGACCGACCTGACCAGTTAATTTGTTCCACACGGATAGTGTGTATTTTACAGATGTCACAAAATAACAGCAAAATACATTTAGTGATCACTCGCTGAGTAGGACTTTTTTCCAGTCTGCCTGTCTCAAAATTAGTACGGCTGCGTTGTGGACGAAGAAATTCAAAAGCGGAAAATTTATTTTTTTTGTACTGATCTATTGATG